GATGATTAAAATTGCCAAACTGTACCCTTAAGAACAGTGTGTTTCCCTGTAGGTAAATTTTATCGTGATTTAAAAATATATGAAGAATGAATATTTTAAAGCCCGTTCTCTTGACTGCCGTCACTTCTAAAACGAAATCCCAGCTCCTCACCTCGGCTCACAAGGGGCTCACCTTCCAGAACTCTTCCCACTGCTCGATTTGCTCCAAACTTGGGAACCTCCTGACTCTTCCCTGAGGACGCCGAGCGCTGGCACACTAGCTCTGCAACTTGGCGCTGGCTTCCCTTTCTGCCTAGAATGATCTTACCCCAGACACGTTCCTCCTCCTTCCAGGCCTCTGCTCAAGTCGCCTGCTTGGAGGGCCCTTCCCTGAACACTCATCCAGAGCCGCCGCTTCCTCCAGCCCCCTTCAGCCCCTCACCTTGCTCTGTTTCCCCAGCATGGCGCTCCTCTCCACCTGCAAGTGCGTTCTGTATTTCTTCACTGTCTGGATGCCCCGGGCACTGTAGGTGGCATGTGGGCAGGTCTTCGTCTGCCTCGTTCACACAGTACAGGGCTCAGAGCAGTCCCCCAAGGTGCGACTTAATAAATCCCCGTTTAATAGTCAGTTAATTAGTACTCCTCTGGGCTATTATGAAGATGAAGTAAGGCATTGCATGCAAAGTGATTTGCACAGGGACCGACAGAGCAAATATCCAGGAAATAGGAGCTACCATTGTCATTCACCACTGCATCCCCAGCACTGCCCTGCACGGTGACTGTCACATATTAGGCGGACAACAAAGAAGTCGGTGGATGCGGCAGATGAAGAGTGGGTGGGGGAGCAGACCCGTAGGTTTATGGGTGGGTGTGTGGCTAGATGGGTGGATGAGTAGAATGAATGCCTGCATGGATGAGTGGGGTGGATGGATATTTAGATGGATGGATATTTGGATGGATGGAATGCTGAATGGGTGGATGAGCAGAGGCAGGCGGATGGACGGATAGATGTTTGGATGGATTGATGGATGAATGGATGGATGGACAGATGGGCAGACGGATGGATGGACGGTTGGATGTTTGGATGGAAAGGTGGACAGATAGATGTTTTGGTGGATGGATGGATGGATGGATGGATGGATGGATGGATGGATGGATGGACGGACGGACAGATGGACATATGGATGGATAGATGGACGGATGGATGGATGGATGGATGGATGGATGGATGGATGGATGTTTGGATGGATGGACGGACAGATGGATGAATGTTTGAATGGATGGGTGGATGGATGGATGGATGGGTAGATATTTGTGTGGACGGGTGGATCATTGTTTTAGTGAACATTCAACATTCCTGGGAAGACCTAGAGGTGCCCTTCCGTGAAATCCACAGAGCTGTCCTTGCATCTGGAGGCTCGGGAGTGGTGAGGGCAGCTTATGTCACCAGAATCTCTTGCATTCCCTGAGCAGACAGGCATCCTCTTACATTTCCCACTGTGGCCTCATCTCTGCCCTCTTCAGAGCATCTCTTTAAGCGGGAGGCAGCCTATTTTGCCCATGGAGGGCTGAGGAGACTGAGGACCAGCAGGTTGCTTCGACCGAGTCGTGTAGCCAGAGATGAGGGGCCCGGGCCTCAGTCTGGTCCTTGGCTGCCTGCTCTCTGTGTGTCCAGGGGTGAGAGGAGGAAAGCCCAGAGGCTGAGAACGTCCTTTCTGGGCACTCTCTGTGCGGTATTCCAGGAGCAGGAGGGAGACGGGCGGAGGGCGGGCGGGCTTTGACTGTCGGGAGCTGCTAATGGGCTTCCTGGTGGTGGTGGGAGCGGGGAGGCTGATAGCAGCTGGTTTGGCTTCCGGAAGCAACATCTTGATGCAGCAGCGAGGGAGGGCATCGGGGTCCATCTGCTGCCAAGGCGTTTGTCTGTCAGCAGCTGCCAGGATAGAGCTCGGAGGGGCGAGGGAGGAGCAGACCCCTCCCCGGTCCACTCTCTGTGCCCCTGGCAGTCAGACGCACACAGGAGCCGGGCTGCAGGGCGGAGGAGGACACTGGGGGCTCTGCCTGTCCTCTGCCCCGGGCTCCGAGCCTTCTTCTGAAGCCCTGCGTGCCATCGAGTCGGGCTTCTGCCACTTCCTTGCAGTGTGACCTTGGGCAAGCCGCGGTCCCCCTAGAGGGCCAGTTCTATGGGCCTCGTGGTAACCCACTTCATAAGCGCCCGATGGCGTGAGGTTCCTGAAACTGAGACTAGCGCATCATTGGCACCTGACAGATATCACTTCCCCATCCCCTCAGAGTCAGCAGGCCCAGGCCCAGGCCTGCAGGAGTTAGGTGGGGTCTCTAGAAAGCCAGGCAGGGAGGAGTCTCATCTAGAAGCAGAAGCTGCCCGCCCTTGCCCTCCAGGGCTCCAGCCTTGTCCTGGCCGGGATGCCTGTCAGCGCCCTCTGCTGGCTGCAGACGACAGTGCCATCCCGCCAGCACTTCAAGGACATTAAGAGCAGCCAAAACAACCCAGGGCCAGACAGCCCTAGGTCCCTGTTTCCCACCTGCAAATCGACCCCCGCAGCACTTGAGTTAAGAAAGAAAGTGGAAACCTTGCTTGACCTCCCTTTGTTTCCTTGTGGGGACAATCTCAAAGGGCCCCAAGCATCAATGAGATCATGCATAGAAGGAGCTTAATGTAGGTCCTTGGCCCTAGAATGCGTTCAACAAGTTAGCCATCAAACAGGGGCTTCTCCTGGTATTTCTAACAGCCAGCATGGTAGGTAGGTGAGGCGTGTTGTCATTGTTCCCCTTGTGCATTTCACTTGGAGAAGGCGGTGGGAGCATCAGCCAAGTGCTCACAGAACAGACGAGACCTTGGCTTTCTGGTCCCCCAGGCCGGTGCCTCCTCCTCGCGGCTGGCTGGGGGGTGCAGCTACCCCCACCCTCCCCACCCTTCCCTCTCCTCCATGCAGGCTCAGCCCTTCTCACAAATGTCTCGCTGGTGGTTTAATTAATAGTCCTCTGGTCGCCTTCTCAGAGAATGGAATTGGCAGTGCCTGGGAGCCCACCCACATCGACCAGCTGCTCTGATTTCTGCTGAGAGCCCTGAGTGGGAAGGAGAGGCTCGGGGACCAGGCAGGGGCAGGTGGGGCGATCCCAGGGCAACCCCGGGCCCGGGGACAAAGCTCTGCCCCTGCAGCTACTACTGGGATGTGTTTGCAGAGAGCAGCGCAGAGCATGGCACCCCAGACAAGACCTTCACATGTCCTCCTTCCTCCAGCTCTATGGGATCTGTCCCCAGCCCCGTTCCCTCCCTGGCCTGCTTTGGCGCCCTGCCCTGGCTGTTCCTGCTGCCTGCAACATTCCTCATGCACTTCACAGTTTGGCTGAAATGTCACCTCCTTGGAAGAGACATCCTGACTCCCACAGCTAAGGACGTCACCACTAACTCTCTGCTCCCCACTTGGTCTCACTCTCTGCATAAAGCATGATCGCTCTCTGATCACGATTTGTGTATGTGTTTCTTTGCTCATGGGCTCTCTCTCCTTCCAAAGTGTGAGCTCCATGTTGGCAGGCACTGGGTCTTGTTCACCACCCTATCCACAGCTCTGCTCCAAAACCCCATGCATTGTCTGCCCAATAATTACTATAGAAAGGATGGATGGATGGATGGATGGACGGACGGACATACCGTTGTTAGTCACCACACAATTCAAGTCCTCAGCAACTTAGCCTTGGACTACTGCAACAATCCCTAACTCCAAGCTCACCCTACCTTCTGACCAGCACATAGAATTACCTTTATAAAATGCCCATCTGACCCTCAACTCTGTTGACTGAAACATCTGAATGGAGTACCACATTGGATGGATGGATGGATGGATGGGTGAGTGGATGGATGGGTGGATGGATGGGTGGATGGATGGATGGATGGGCAGATGGGCGGATGGGTAGGTGGACGGATATGTAGATAGATGGATGAGTGGATGAATGGATGGGTGGGTGGATGGGTGAGTGGATTAATCTGGGAAAAATAGTCCTGGCTGGAAAGTCAGGGAACATGGGTACCTAGCTCTGTGGGTGACCTTGGATAAGCCTCTTTGTGGTTCATGGGACTCTATGTCCCAGCCGAAACAGGAGGGGACAGACCCAGTAATCTCCAGTGGCCCCTCCATCCCTGACGTTCTCAGGCTTTGTTCAGGGGACAGTGACAACCTTGGGCATCTCGTCCCCAGAGCTCAGACATATAAAGGGGCTTTAATAAGAGATTCTTGTCCTGATACAAGGACAAGAGGAGGAGAGGCGGGGAGGGCAAAGGCTGGGCACAGGGAAAGAGACGGCTTTCCCACAGCATGTCCACTCCACCTCCCAGAGATTCCAGAAAAACCCATCGAGAGGATTAGCCTGACAGAAAGAGCGCTGGATCAGAAGTCAGGAGACCCGAAATTTTCTCTCGGGTTTCCTGATGGTATGATCTTTGGCAGGTCACTTGTGTTTCTGGGAGCCTCAGTTAACCCAACTGGATGGGAGGAGGATGATAGCAGAAACTCGCACAAGGGTGTAGTGCAGGCGGGAGTCTGGGGTGCCTCACGTCTGGCTGCTGGAACAGACTTCTCCCCGAAACATCCGCGGAGTTGTCTCTGGGGGTGGGCCTCCCCTGGACAAGTTTCCCTCCCTGACTCCACCATCACTGGGCTTCTCTGGTCTTGTCACTTGGCATGCTGGCCATGCTTGCCTGTGGCTTGTCTTTCTCCTCCACTGATGTGTGACCCCACAAGGGCAGGGACCATGTCCTGCACACTGTTGACTCTCCAGGTCCCAGTCAGGCTCTGACGCATCGCAGGGGCTCAGGGAACGTGTCTGAATGCATGCGTGAATGAATGAATGAATGAATGAGCACACTCGGAGCTTCTAACTCAGAAGCAACCGAGGATGATGGTAGCTAGACTGGAACTTCCTCTTCTGTGTCTCTTTTCCCTCCTTTCCATGCCCCCCCCCAGAAAAACACCCATATCTCTCTGACCCGGCCTCTCTCCTTACAGTTGCCCCCAAAGGACCCAAAATCGTGATGACGCCCAGTAGAGCCCGGGTCGGGGACACAGTGAGGATCCTGGTCCACGGATTTCAGGTCAGTCTCTCTCTCTGAGCATCGGGAGGGTGATGGAAGGAGCCAGGGGCACCCCCTGGGCACCAGCATCCCTGGCAGCCGTCTCCAACACCCTCCTCTCGACCGTCAGCCACAGTCCTGGGCCTCGGTATCCCAATCTGTGTCAGGGCAGAACTGGCTTCCGTGAGGCATGGCGAAGCGGAACATTCACAGTGCCCTCTGCCATCGAGACCTTGGCACCTTCTCCGGCCCGAGACTCCTCCTACTTCTGGGGTTCCACTCATCCCGGGAGGCTGTGGCGCAGCCTCGACCCCTCCCTGCCCCGGTAGAACGGCTCCTCCGTGATTCTGCTCTCCCCTGCCCTGGCCAACAGAACGAAGTCTTCCCGGAGCCCATGTTCACGTGGACGCGGGTGGGGAGCCGCCTCCTAGATGGCAGCACGGAGTTCGGCGGGAAGGAGCTGGTGCTGGAGCGCGTCCCCGCCGAGCTCAACGGCTCCATGTACCGCTGCACGGCCCAGAACCCACTGGGCTCCACCGACACGCACACCCGGCTCATCGTGTTCGGTACGGCAGGCTTGGCCGGGGGGCCTGGCTGGACGCCGTCCCCGGGGGAGGGGGCGGCAAGTCCCGAATGTGCCCTAGAGGGTGCCCCACAGGGAGGCAGTACCTTTCATGGGTTCAAACGATACCAGCTTTGGAGACAGAAAGACTTTGGGTTCAAATCCCAGCTCTGCCACTTAGCAGCTGGGCAGCCCTGGGCAAACTGCTTACCCTTTCTGTTTCTCCATCTGTAAAACGGGGCTGACACCACCCAGCCCCCAGAGAGGCTGTGTGCTGCCCTGAGACCATGCACGTGGTGCCACCCTGCGGGGCCTGGGTAAGATCGCTCCTTGGCTGAATTCTGAATGCCATCTGCTCTCTGGTTCTCTCTCTGTTTCTCTCCAACAGAAAACCCGAATATCCCAAGAGGCACGGAGGACTCCAATGGTAGGTATCCACCCTCGGAACCTTCTTGCTTAAGAGTGAGTGATTTTCCAGGCTCCGGAAAGCTCTGGGCCCCAAACTGCCCATTGGCCAACCTCTTCCCCTCCCCTCCCACATTAGGCGGCCCTTGCCCGCTAGTTGGGCAGAGTTGGGGTCAGAGGTGGTCAGAGGTGGGCACTGAGGCACCCAGGGGGCTCAACCTGCCAAAGCCTGTGGGGACCACATCCCCCCACCCGATGTCCATGGTGCCTCTGCCTCTCTCGACTCATAGAGCTCGGCTGCCCTGACTCTGCGAGGGTGTGTCCAGCATTGACTGTGGGGCTGTGTTCTGGCCCGGACTCTTCATAGGACAGCTGGGAGCAGACAGACACTTTGGCGGGGACTCTGGCTGCCCCACCCCCACCCCAACCCAAGGGACCCAGACATTATTCCCAGGCCTGGCATCCCCTCAACTCCCCACACAGAGCCAAGCCCAAAGCTCACACTGGAGGCCCCCACTCCTGGTCCCTGTTGCACGACCCTGACGGCCCCCAGCAAGCCTGACCTCGGCTCAGCAGTCGCTTTGAACCCATTGGTGTTGGTGCTGAAGCCCAGTGTCCTTGCTGGGGACCCAGAGGCCCTGCCATCCCTGGACGGGCATGGTCCGCAGGCTCTGACCCTCTCCCCACCTGGCACAGGTTCTGCGTCTGGCCCCGCTGGTGCCCTGTCCACCTTGGTGCTCGCCCTGACAGTGGTCCTGGAGCTGACGTGAAGGCGCCCGTCCCCGCCACCCCACCGGGCGCTGACATCTCCACGACCAGTTTTCGTTTCTTTTCTAAACTATTTCCAGTCTTGTTCTTCGTCTTTCTGTCTGTGTCTTGGCTTCTTCAGCTGGTTTAATTAAAGCAAACAGAACAATTTTCCCCACCTCGGCGTCTGGCTCTGAATTCCTTATTTGTTCAATGGCACCTCCTGGCATCCAGCCCTGGGATGGCGCTGAGGAGGCATAATGAGGGAGGGGGGAGACCGGGTCCTCCTCCCCAGATGAGGGGTGGCGTGCAGCTTATGATCCCACTCACATCCTAACAACCAGGTATAGGAAGTGGCCAGAGACACTCGGGAAATCCAAGATTCTTCAGGGCCCAGTGCAAGAGTCAGCAGTTGCCACAGTAATGCTGCATAAGAAGCCAACTCCATCTCAATGGCACGTGACAGCAGGCACTTATCGTTATGCTCATGTTCAAGTTGAAATGGTCTGGCTGACCTCATCCGGGCTCAGCTGGGCAGCTCTGTTTCAGTGGCAGGTCAATCGGCTGGACTTCCGGCTGTGGGTTGGGCTCTGGTCTCCTCCATGGGTTTGTTTGCTCTGGGGCCCAAGCTAAAGTGGAAATGGCTCCCTGACATCTAAGTGAATCATCAAAGCTCTAGAAGAAACCCAAACCACGCAGGCACATCTAAGGCCTCTGCCTGTGTCGTGCCCATGAACACTCCTTGAGCCAAAGCGAGTCACATGGCCAGCGCCAACATCTGTCAAGGTCACATGTAAGTCAGTGGTAGAGGCTTCCCAGAACTTTCTACTCAATCACGAGAAGATTCCTCATGCCATTCAGCTTTTCGCTCTGAAGGAAGGACAGAGAGTCCTTGGGGAGGGAGGGGTTGGCCTCCCTGAGCTATGGTCAAGACTTGAGAGTCACCAAGAAGAGCCCACGGAAGATTGCATTAGTCTGCATAGGATAGGCTGTCTGCAGTAACACGTTGACCCAGCGCCTCACTGCCGCCACACAATAAGGAGTGATGTTGGGCTCCCGCAAAGCCCCAGACATGCTGGGCAGTTCTGTGCCTTCATCACCTGGAACATGTGCTTTCAGAATCTCCGGGGCAGGGGAAGAGAGAACCAGAACCACCCCTGTGGTAGGTGGAACAATGGCCCCCAAAGATGTCCACGTCCTAACCCTCAGAACCTGTGAATATGTTACCTTCCAGGGCAAAAGGAATTTTGCTGATGTGATCAGTTAAGAATCCTGAGATCCAAATATGAAGCTGGAGTGTCTGACTGGGCCCATGGTCATCACAAGGTCCTTATAAGAGGGAGACAGGACGGCCAAAGGCAGTAGAAGACGTGGCAGAGCAAGAGATGGGGAGGGACACCAGGAAGGGGCCACAAGCCAAAGAATGCCGGCAGACCCTAGCAGCTGAACAAAGCGAGGGAACATATTGATTCTCTCCCTAGAAGCTTCAGAAGGAACCAGACTTTCCAACACCTTTAGCCCCCTAAGACTTGTTTTGGGCTTCTGACTCCAGAATTCTTAGAGTCACTAAGTTTGTGGACGGTTGTTCCAGCAGCAGTTAGGAGCTAATACAGTCATACGGGATGTGATTGGGGCGAGGCCTAGTAGAGCACAGTCACCACTGCCCACACCCCACTGGCCAGGAGTAGTCAGGTGACCCATCCTAACTTCCAGGGCAGCTGGGAAGTACAGTCTTCCTGCTCTCCAGAAGAGGAGATGGAGTGATGAGCCCACAGCCACGTCAGCCACAGAGGAGCTGGACCCTCTCATGGATTCATTTCCACGTCCCTCTGCCCCGGCTGGAGTGACCAGAGGAGGGAGGGCAGGAGGGCTCCACCACCAGGGACGGCCCTCACCACCCTGGCTTCCTGTGTGCCCTGGCTCGGCCTCTCTTCCCAGCCAGGAGAGGCAGGACATCACCACGGAGCCCTCGTGCCTCTCCCAGGCGCTGCAGGTGGAGCAGGGAATCAGGACCCATCCCTACAAAACTGCGGGCCCCAGACACGCCGAGCTGGGAGTTAGGCAGTGGCTCTGTCCCCTCGCTGCCACCACAGCCCCTTAGGCCCTGGCCAAGGCGGGACCTGAATGACCCGTTCAATTCGCGTTTGCCTTGACTCCCAAATCTCCGACTGTTCCCGGGAATTCCAGTCTCAGATGTCTAACTTCCTCCCACGGGCCCCCTCCCCCATCAGACAACCTAGACTCATTTCCACCATCCTGGGGCCGAACCCAACTTTGGGCTTCCCCCTTGCAAATCCTGCCCCAGACACGGTGCTGTCAGCCCTGTGACCCGGGTGGAGCATTTTGCTTTTGTTGTCCGTGTCTCTCCTTCCCTCATGCCCCCACATTCCTTCCTCTCAAAACTCATCCCTCATTCACTCCCCACTCGCCGTCCCCATGGCCGACACCCTAGAAAAGCCTCCTCCCGCCTGGAACGGCTGTCTCAGCCTCCGATCTGGTCTTCAGATTCCCTCCCCACCCCCTGCCAGTCTCCCCACAGCAGCCAGAGGAATGAACCTCTGTCCACCTGTCACCCCACAGTGCTCCCCGCCTCGGCACCCTGACTTCCGAGCCCACACCCCTCCCAAGCCGTGCAGGACGTGGCTTTGCCTGCGCCTCTGACCCAGCCCTGTTTCACTCACCTCTCCGCTCCTGGAGCCTCCTGCGCACTCCTGCCCAGGGCCTTTGCTCTCCACACCCTCTGCCTGGAATTCCCCTCCTCCCGGCAGGGCCAGCTCCTCCATGCCATTTGGAATGCTGCTGGCCCACCACCTCCCCGAAGAGACCTGCCGCGCCCCCTGTCCACGTTACTACCGGGTGCTTTTCCTGTTACCTGTGCGCTTGTCGGAAGCCTCCCCCACCCTCAGCGAATATTTGCCCCATGAGCATGTGGACCGTGACTTTATCGTGCACTGTCGTACACTCAGCACAGATCCTGGCACTTGGTAGGCGCTCAGTAATGAGTTATTGAGTGAATGAATGAATGAGCGAATGAATTAATCGGGGCCTCCTCCCAAGGGCAGGCCCTGTGCCAGACCCCGGGCTGTGGAGATGCGCAAGCCTTTTGCAGAGCTTGCAGTCCAGTGAGGGGAAGTGTTTGCCTGACCCAGCAACAGAAATGACCTGGGCTGCCTATCAGCACGGTACCTCCTGGTACTCTGGAGCACTGGGAGGACGGGGGAGTCAGAGGAGGCCAGAGAGAACGGATGACATATGAACAGAACGTTGAAGGAAAGACAGAGGTTGGCCAGGCAGAGAATGGAGGAGGTATTCTAGACGGGGGGAACAGCAGGAGCAAAGGCTTAGTGTTAGGATGATTTGGTGCATATCGTTGCATCAGTGCTTCCAAAAGCACTTGGATTCATTCAACAAACACTTATTGATCACTCATCCTGGGTCAAGCCGTGTGATGGATGCTGCCGATGAAAGGGGAGACTGTTATATGGCTTTTGTATCAGTTATCGATGGCCACAGTGATGCCGTATAACAAACATCCCCATAGATATTGGCTCAAAACAACAGCTGTTTGCTTTTTTTTTTAGTTGGAGTCTCATTCTGTCGCGCAGACTGGAGTGCAGCGGCCGCTCCCAGCCACCGCAGCCTCCACCTGCTGGGCTCTGGCGATCCTTCCGCCTCAGCCTTCCAAATAGCCGGAACTACAGGTGTGCGCTACCATACCCGGCTGATTTTTTGATTTATTGTAGAGATGAGGTCCTGCCAAGTTGCTCAGGCGGGTCTCAAACCCGCGGGCTCAGGCAATCCACTCACCTCAGCCTCCCAAAGGCGTGGGATTACAGGCTGAGCCGCCAAGCCCGGCTACAACAGCTGTTAATGGTGTCTCAGGAGCTATGGTCAGTTGCCGATCTGGGCTGGGTTTGACTGGTGTGGGCTGGGCCCACTCTAGGTGGGTCAGCTGGGGGCTGGCTGGTCTAGGGTGGCCTTGGCTGGGGCGACTCCATTTTGTTCCATATAGTCTCTCAACCCCAGCAAGCGAGTAAAGGCAGAAGGGCCAGAGGGAGAGAGGTCCCTGGCACGCAGGCTTCTTGTGGTCTAGGGCAGATACACGTTGTCACGGCTGCTGCATTTTGTTGTCAGGGCAAGTCATGTTGTCAGCTCAGATTCAAGGGGTGGAGAAATAGGTCCCCCTTTTAATGGGAGGAGCTGAGAAGCTACACCCACCATGGAAGGAAGCAGAATCAAAGCCAGCTTCACAAACTCCAGTGGCCCTACCTTCTGAAATAGGTTTTCGAGCATCTTGGATTCCCACACACCATGTCTCATACTCCCACCTAATCTGGGGAGCCAGCAATTTCTCTTTTATAACAAGATATCATAAACACAGGGTTCATTCGTTCAATCAATACTGGCATGCCTGCATTTTGCCCCTGATAGCAACACCGAAGCAGATGATTTTCCATTGCTGAAGGCTCTCAGATGTTCATCAGGATGTAAACATTCAGGCCAGATCATCCTGCAACAACCATAGAGCACCCCCTGCCTCCCCAGCCTACTTCCTCCTTCCCCAAAGCCCTGTTCCGTCTCACATGAGCCACCTGTGCCCTCTGCTGCCTGCCAGCGATTCTGCATAAGCCTCTGTTGCACAATGCCTCTGCCTGTTTTCTAGAGGAAATAAAGAAAGAAAGATGTGCTCCCTCTCTTTGCCTTAATAGAGGGAAGCCCATGTAGGCATGAAATTGGATTGCTCTGCCCTATTAACAGCATGGTCGCTGGGCTCCACTGACCCCTGAGGTGCATTAATATCTCAGCAGCAAGTGGATGAACCATATAACGTGGCAGGGGACACACCCGGAGGAGCCAGCTGGGAGGCGGGAGGGCCACGGGGACGGGGCGGCTGCCTGCTTTGGCTTTGAATTTGAGGGCGTTGAGCCCTGAGCAGGCTGGAGAGGGCGGTTTATCTGACCTGGGGTTGAGGGGCAGGGGTGAAAGGGGGATGGGTAAAACAGGGCCCCGCCTGGGAGGGGAGACGGAACCTTGTGTATTCATCCATGTGCTCATTCAGTCATTTGACAAACCCTGAACATCACCCAGCCAGGCTCCACTCCAGGCAGGGATGCACAGAGACAGGCCTTGCCCTTAAAGGGCTCCACATCCCTTAGGAGGGACAGAGGAACCGCATTT